TATCCTTAAATTAAGGGTTTTTGAAAATCTTATATTGAGATATGGAAATAGTATTTTTCCGACCTGTTGCGATGGGGTTTTTTACTCGTGTGGCGTTGCCCTCCGAGCCGTAGGCGAGGACTGGCTAACCACACGAGTAAAAAAACCCCCATCGCAACAGCCCAGGAACAATATTTTTCTGTAGTGATTTTCAAGTTTTCGAGTTTGGGAAGTATGTAATACCAATTTCCAAACGAGAAATCGTGAGAAGCAGTACAGGAAACTTTATTTGAGCTTTCCGAAATTTTCAAACAATTTTTCCTAAAAACTCAAATTGAACTTTCCGAAAAATCATATCTTAAGATCGTAGAAATTTTGAACCAAATTTTTTTGGGATGAACGGAAAAATGTTGATATTATCTGAGCTTTTATAAGAGCTCATCATAAACGCGCATGATATGATTTTTAATAACTTGACGAAATCTAAGAAATTTCCAGAAAAATTCATACATGATTCAATAATAATAATTGTTATCATAAACATCCTATGTGAATTCCAGATTAATATAATCCCTCGCCTTGTTCGAACCAAATGTCTTCATTAAAAAAAGTGCATTAGCTTTAGGAAAATATTTCTAAATTTTAAAAACCGTGGTTTCTAACCTTCGGTTTTCTAAAATCTAGAAACTTTTTCTAAGTTTTACAAAAAAAATCGTATAAAATTACTGATAAAAATTGGCATTGATGTTAAACCAAAATATACTTAATTTTGGAAAAAAATAATTTCTAAAATCTAGAAAAAATTTTTAATTGAGGGGGAGGGGTTCTCAAATTTTGGTTGTGAATTTAAAATGCACAAACTCCCCCTTCCCCCCCCCCTCCGTCAAAAAAAAATTCCAGTAAAAATTCGCGATCTCCCTTAATTTTGCAGATATCCTTGAAAAACTTACCGACGAACTAAGTCGACTACAGGAGCGACTCGGGGGGGGGAGGTTGTACATTGAGAATTCAGTACAATGCATGTATAGGACTCCCCTTATCTATGATCCCCCCCCTCCCCATATATGACCCCCCCATACCCGTGCCCCTCCTATAAATAAAATCACCCATATAAACCTCTCCTTTCAATAAATTGAGCCTCTCCTTAAAAAATTCCCATACACGAAACCCCGCGCCTCAGATCTGAAACTTCCGATATTTGGGCACCCTATTCCTATATTTGGGTCACTTACGCCCTTCAAATATCTCGGCCGCAATTTTTTAGTTCAATCCGATAATTTTTTTAATTAAGAAAAATTCAGCATTGGTTTTAAAAAATATTTTTTCTTAAAAACAATTCACAAATTCGTTAGTTTTTATGAACCCCCCAAGGATAAAGCTTAAGAATATGAGTGTCTAAAATCTAGAAACTAATCTCTGACACTAATCCACTTTTTTCCTCTGTATTGAAAGAGTAATATTTATTCTCGTCCGATTCCTTTGAATGATTGTTTGTACCATTGGATTGCTCATTGGATTATCTTCTGATGACGTCGGTGCATATTTTATAATTCCTTATCATTCAAACTATGTAATACTATAAATAAAACTGTTCAAAATGCGAAATACTGTCATCGAACAGCGGCACATATGTCCAACTATCTTTTACTATTCAACAAGAGGCTGTTATTCCAAAATTGATAAGGCCAATTCCATCAAGTTTTACTTGGAAAATATGTAATCAAGTAGTATATTTCGGTACGAATGCGTAAAAATTCTACAGTCAGACCCTCTCAAGACTCGAATTCGTTTTCAGTTCGGGTTTAATCAAGATTCAATCAAGGATTAATTACTGTATAACCAGGATTTGATCAGGTTTTGTTCAGAATTTACCCAGATGAGTTTAACCCAGGCTCCGTCAAAAGATAGTCGGGATCATGAATTAATATTAATAAGGAGTCAACATAATAGACTAGTACATGAGTTTAATAAAGATAGAGATGTTGATATAAAAAGCTCATGACGGCATTGTGTAAATTGATAAGCGAGGGGCTAGTCACTTAGCAAATCACTGGACCACTCGACTGGAAATCAAGGAAGAAATCAATGGAAATCACTGGAAATCAAGTGATTTCCGAAATCATCGATGAATGTAAAATCGAGATTGATTTTTCAATTTCAATGCTACAATTTTTGTTATGGTATCGGTGCGTTCGAAATCACCCAATCCCGAAATGCGACGGTATGAAGTTTTTGACATGCTTACGTATTGTAACGTCATGTAGAAAACTGCCATTATCGACAGATGCCCCACTCTGGTCCCGAAATAATGATTTCTCCAGTGATTTCTTGAAATCAAGAAATCATTGGAATCTACTAGAAATCATGGAAATCACACGAAATCAAAAGAAATCACGATTGAGAAATTACAATAATCATTCGCGAAATCACAGAAATCAACAGGAAATTATCTGATTCTGAAAATCACTGAGAGTCACTCGATTGAGGAGCGACCAGCCCCTCGTTGATAAGCAATGATGCTGTTTTCACCATTTTTCAACTTGATTAAGAAGGCATTGAAATATACTTTTCAAGCACTGATTTAATTACTATTACTGATTATTCTCTCAGTAATCCTGAAATACCGATTTTCTTTTTCAAATCGCATAAACAATGTGTTAAGAAATCTATTTTTGGAAAAATATCAATTCTTTAAAATCTTTATGAAAATCTGAATTTTAATTAGTGTCAATGAATAGAGCTGACTAAATAAGTCTGTATTCATTAAAACAATTTCTGAAATTTGATAGATCCCTTAAAAGACAAGTTCTTTAAAAAAAATGAAAAAATGACCACATACATACAGACAACATCTAAAATAACAATTTTCGTCACGAGGCCGAAAAAAACTATTTATTTCACACGGCGATAAAAGTATTATCTGACGAATGTGATTATAAGATTATGAAAAATTATAAGATAAGATTATGATTATGTGATTATCTGAGATTGTGATTATTTGCGATTATGTGATTATATGATTATAATCGTTGTGAACGAAGAAGCTTCTTCGCCACAACGTTGCTCCAACTGTTTCTCCTTCACCCCTTTACCCTTGCGGAAAGGAGTGAGGGGAAACAGTTTAAGAGAGCTCATTCGCTAGTCGTTAATCATGTTTTTACTGTTGAAATAACAATAAAATTACTCTGGATATGTTTTTCAAAAACCATCAGCTAAATTTTCTTCGCCCAAACCCCTTAAATTCGCTTTATTCGACAACTGGGATGGGTCGGTTTTGGACATTCGAAATCTGGGTTCGGGACACTATGTTTTATTTTCGCGAATATTCATCTAATTCCTAACTTTTTCAATCAAAATCAAGGGTTTTTCTGTCGGAAAAATATCCGAATTGGTATCTAAATGTTAATATTTCACATTTGACGGGAAAGGACAGGGATAATCCGATATTAATGGATGGGTGCTCCTTAACCATTCGAAAACTAGTACCACACGGTACTATTTCTTCACAATGTCCGTAAACGGCGTTTGATGAACACGAAGTATCCGTAAAATGACGTTTTACGAACAGTGTGAAAAACATCCGAATTGACTTCTAAAAGCTGATATTTCACATTTGCCGGGAAAAGACAGGGATAATCCGATATCAATGGGTGGGTACTCCTTACCCATTCAAAAACCAGTACCACCACGGTACTATTTCTTCACAATGTCCATAAACGGCGTTTGACGGCGTGATAAAAATCGCATATTCGGATTTTTTAGTTCATTAGACCTGTGCGCGCGCTCATCTATTTGTTGTGAAAATGAAGAAATCGAATTTATTAAACTTCATATACTCATAGATGTTTTATAAATATTGATAATGACTTGAAGAGAATTAAGAGAGTAAAGAGTGACACATCAATGAATAATTTTTAATCTTCGATTAAATCTTTTTTTTTTACTTTTTAAAAGAATCTGATTAAAATCTGTAATTGTTGAAAAATGAGGGGAGGGTTATGAATTGATTTCCTAGAAAACTGAAAAAATTGCTTGAATTCGGAAAATTTCACAGTTTTCAAATAACCGTAGATCTTCAAAGATTTTTCTCGAATTATTTGGGAAACCGAAGAATTTTCACTTTTATTTTTTCTTAGTAGAGTTCATTATTTATGTATGAAAATCTGAGAAGCAAGAATTGATCATTTTTGCATCTTTGTATGATAAATATAAAAAAATTAAAATTTGGGAAGTGAAGAATAATTGGTGAGTTAAAAAAATTTAGAAATACTATGTTTTTTTTCTCATGATCAACAATTAGGCAATTTAGATATTTTTTGATATAAAGATAAACTTCACACATGGAAAAATGATAAATATGACGCAGAAAACATTTTCGGCTTTTGAAGAATTTGAAAATACCGGGGATTTTTGTCAGCGACTACTTCACGTGACTCATTGATCAATCACGGTCAGGCAGTTTCGAGATATTTCGATTTAAAACAACTTCACGTTTCTTTCTTTCTTTCTTTCATCGGATCTTTAGTAACAAGATCTATGCGCGCGCTCTCGCACGCGCTGATCTATTCATTTTTTGAAATGAAGAAATGAAATTCATTGAATTTCATTTTCTCATGAATACCTTATAAATATTGATAATGAATCAAAGAGAATTCGACTAATGATTGAAGTGAATAGCGACGTAGAGTAAAAGAATCTATAAAGAATTTTTCATTTTCAATTAGTTATCTTCAATTTTTTTAAATAATCGGTCTCCATAAAAGGACAGAATTTATTAATTTCACCGATGATATATATACATGTGAAATATATATATTATTATATATATGATGTGAAAAAAAAATTTACCATTGAAGAATTTGAAATTATGTCACTGAAGAATTTGAAAATGCCGCGTGTTTTTTTAATGAATAACTTCGTGTGTCACATATTGACCAATCAGAATTAAGGATTAGCGGTCAGGCAGTTTCGAGATATTTCGATATAAAACAACTTCACGTTTCTTTCATCTTTAGTAAATAGCATACAGACACCTTTAAACAAAAAATAGGGAATTTAAATTTGAGCGATTACAAAGCTTCCATTCGGAAGCACTAGACAAATGTGAAAATTGAAAGATTGCGATGCTTCCTTTCGGAAGCAAAAAAATTATGACCGTCGGGTCCTAAAGTCGTGTAATGACGCCCCTGGAGCTGCGTATCATCATGGCTGCGTCGGCTTTGCTGACAGGCAGTTTACACCGATTTTTACCCTTCATCCATAGAAGTATTAGGAGCACTAAGCTCAGTAGATTAATTACTGCAGAGAGTCCTAATAAAATTGATCAGTCACGAAGGTGTAACCATTGTTCCTCCACAATGGCAAAGTTTCAGTATCCGGAGACAAGGAGAGATGAAGAATTTTGTGAGAATTATCATGGCGTTGAGGTTAGTGTTATTCAAATTTTGTTTTTCAATATCAACACAATATGTTTCCTTTCATCATTAGTCAATCAACTTTTTAATTTTATTCCCCTAGGTGAAGGATCCTTACAGATGGCTGGAGGACCCCGAGGGAGAGGAGACGAAAGCCTTTGTTGATGCTCAAAATGCAATAACAAGACCTTTTTTGAATTCCTGTCCAGTGAGACAAGATATTCACGATCGTCTCAAGCAGCTGTGGGACTTTCCCAAATATTCGTGCCCTAGGAAACATGGGGACAAGTATTATTTCTATAAAAACACAGGGTTGCAGAACCAAAGGTGAGCGACAATCCCATGAAAAAACTTGAGAGATTTTTTATTGGAACAAAATCAGTACTATGTATTCAATACTTGGTTACGTTGAAATAGATAATAATTCGGAAGTAAAGTTCCATTTATATTTCATTACCACATCAAGGTCATTGAAGAGAATTGAACTCTGATTATTTTTCTGATCAGGAATGGGGTTAATTCATTTTTCATAAAATTCAAAAAGCAAAAAAAATTATTCGTCATTGATAATTTTTAAACTCGTTTGGCTAGGGTATTTCGACATAATTTTCATATTGGGAATATAATTTTTGCTTATTATTTCTGATTTTTTTCTAGATTTCAATCTTTTATCTAAACTCGAAAAGTCCTTTTTCTGATAAGACTGTGTCATTTTTGTACTTTTAGATTAATTATTATCAATAATATTAGACTATCGATTGAGCACAAACTCAACCCGAATGTTTCTATTCATATTAACCCCTTACGGACAGGGCCCTTCTGTTACCAAGCGTGGTGTGTACTCAATACGACTCGAATCTAATTATTTCTAATGAATAGAAAATTATGAAAGTGGTATCTAATTGAAGTTATAGTATTCCTGTGTCCAATTTTGGCTGTCTGATCAAGTTATTCTTTATAGATTTCGATACCATGCATCGACCCCGTACGTGAGGGATTAACTTTCGTTTAGAATTTATATCAGTTTTTAATCTTTAAAATTCAAGTTATTTCCGCAGTACTTGAGCACGAAAATAATGTTCATTAATATTTCATTACCATGTCAAGGTCACTGACGAGAATCAAACTCTGATTACTTTTATATTTAATGATGAGGAATATGATTGATGGAAAAGAATCACATTCTGATTTCTTTTCTAATCAGGAATGGAGGTTAATTCATTTTTCATCGAATTCAAAAAGCAAAAAAAAATGATTCGTCATTGATAATTTTCCCTATGAGTTCTGACTTTGATGAGTATAAAAAATTAATACATCAAATTCCTTTGTCAATATTTTTTTTAAATAGTATCTCGTTTGACTAGGGTATTTCAACATAATTTTCATATTATATTATTTCTCGTTTTTTGAAGTTTTTTGAGGTTTTTCCGAGGAAATCGGAAGAACGAATTGAAAAAAATTGGCATATTTTTATACGGAAAGTGTGTTCGAAGACGCATATTTTGTGAAAAAAAACTCAAATCGGTTGATTTTTACGGAAGTTACCGGCATTTGAAGATAAAACTTGCAAAAAAACAGGGCTGCCCACAGGATGTTTCAAAAAATCTGAAAAAATTTGAGAAGTCATATTTTTCCATATACAACCATAGGAAAAATCGGCAATATGATTGGCGATGGTGAGGGTTTTGACCTGGATGAGTTCACATGGAATACCCCAGGAGTAAATTGAAAATATATAAAAGTCAAAAATAAGGGCTAGAAATGAAGTCCAGAAATGAGTATCTAAAATAAGGTTCAGGGAAATATCTGATTAATTTTGAAGTTCGAAGTGTATTTGCCGGATTATTTCCCATATCACCATTTCGATAAATAGAATTGTGATATTCAATGTCATCGTGGTAGAATCGAAAATTTTTTTGCTTCCCAATGGGAGCTTTGTAATCCTTCAGATTTAAGTTTTGGATTTTTTGTGTTATATCGACCCAGTACGATCCAGTAAATCCGAAAATACAAATTTTAAATCTCGTCCATACAAGTGCGTGTATGGGCGTACTTTTGTAACAAAGTTTTTCTTCAAGTTTTGTTCGCTGATGAATGGATGGAATTGAATCGTTTTTTTTTCTTTTAAAATGTACGTATTGTTGAGCCCTATCGATCACCATTCATTATAATTTAATTAATCGATTAGTTGTTTAAAATTTCGCATTTTTTCAAAAATCAGACGGCCCACGATAACTAAAACAAGGAGGGAACAGCGAGCATGTGACAGTGCGCTATGTGACAATGAGCATGTCACTGACTGATGTCTTATTTTTTTTCACTATCAATACATTGATGGCTGGCTTCCAAATGGTCTGAAATATTACAATAGTTTATAGCTTCACAACACTAAATAGCAGCAAAAATTTCAGATGGAGGTGGCACTTCATGGGTGCTATCAAAATTCCAATGTTTCGAATACTTGGTATGAGCGGGTATACATATTTTCTGTCCAAGTTTCAAGTCGATAAGGTAAATGTCCCGGTACCTGGCTCAGTCCCAATAGCTGAATCGCCGAGTATCCGATTGCCAATTTCTTTCGATAAGTAATTATTTCTTCTCAAAAATGATAATATTTAATTTTTTAAAGAAGCGTAGGGTTTCAATGATTCTAAGGAAATAAATTCCATGCAGTTGGTATTCCCAAAAAAATTTGGATTCAACAATTAAAGTTGATACTCGGTTGAATTGCTCCCTTCGGTCCGATTCCTAGTGTCAACTGCTAAGAGGTGACTCATCAAATGATAGTGATTCATTCAGTCATGCGAGTATTGAAAAATTAGTTAAACAATTCATCAAGCAGGGACTGACTTAAACTTTCGTAAAAGTAGTCAAAATTTCGAGACAAACAATTTTTTATACCAATAAATAGCTATTCAGGTATTGGGCCATCAGGCCTAACCTATGTCCGAGTAGCTGAATTCGTTGTTTCACTATTAAGTTTCGTATTGTTACACGTATGAGATATTGTCATAAGTGAAACTATCGAAAATCCTTCAGTGCACGTGAATAAAATAATCAGAAATTTTTTTTTCTTCAAACTAAATTTTTCCTCTAGAGAGAAATTTTAGAGTCTGCACACCTCCCGACTGGAATCTGAAGAGTGTTATTTTATTGAGAAAACTTACTGAATGTTTCTTCTATTTGCATAATGTCATGATGATGATCCATTTGTCATAATATTCGTACCAATCTATTATTTAATGAACGATATTTATTATTAAGTATAGATTTCCGTGGCAATGACTTGTGATTCAACTACTGGGACATGGGGATTCAGGTATTGGGACATGGACGTTGTTTGGATTCAAGNTGGTATGAGCGGGTATACATATTTTCTGTCCAAGTTTCAAGTCGATAAGGTAAATGTCCCGGTACCTGGCTCAGTCCCAATAGCTGAATCGCCGAGTATCCGATTGCCAATTTCTTTCGATAAGTAATTATTTCTTCTCAAAAATGATAATATTTAATTTTTTAAAGAAGCGTAGGGTTTCAATGATTCTAAGGAAATAAATTCCATGCAGTTGGTATTCCCAAAAAAATTTGGATTCAACAATTAAAGTTGATACTCGGTTGAATTGCTCCCTTCGGTCCGATTCCTAGTGTCAACTGCTAAGAGGTGACTCATCAAATGATAGTGATTCATTCAGTCATGCGAGTATTGAAAAATTAGTTAAACAATTCATCAAGCAGGGACTGACTTAAACTTTCGTAAAAGTAGTCAAAATTTCGAGACANTAATTATTTCTTCTCAAAAATGATAATATTTAATTTTTTAAAGAAGCGTAGGGTTTCAATGATTCTAAGGAAATAAATTCCATGCAGTTGGTATTCCCAAAAAAATTTGGATTCAACAATTAAAGTTGATACTCGGTTGAATTGCTCCCTTCGGTCCGATTCCTAGTGTCAACTGCTAAGAGGTGACTCATCAAATGATAGTGATTCATTCAGTCATGCGAGTATTGAAAAATTAGTTAAACAATTCATCAAGCAGGGACTGACTTAAACTTTCGTAAAAGTAGTAAAAATTTCGAGAAAAACAATTTTTTATACCAATAAATAGCTATTCAGGTATTGGGCCATCAGGCCTAACCTATGTCCGAGTAGCTGAATTCGTTGTTTCACTATTAAGTTTCGTATTGTTACACGTATGAGAGACTGTCATAAGTGAAACTATCGAAAATCCTTCAGTGCACGTGAATAAAATAATCAGAAATTTTTTTTTCTTCAAACTAAATTTTTCCTCTAGAGAGAAATTTTAGAGTCTGCACACCTCCCGACTGGAATCTGAAGAGTGTTATTTTATTGAGAAAACTTACTGAATGTTTCTTCTATTTGCATAATGTCATGATGATGATCCATTTGTCATAATATTCGTACCAATCTATTATTTAATGAACGATATTTATTATTAAGTATAGATTTCCGTGGCAATGACTTGTGATTCAACTACTGGGACATGGGGATTCAGGTATTGGGACATGGACGTTGTTTGGATTCAAGTACTAGGACATAGCTCTTACATAATAAATTCGTTTAGTTTGATGTTTGTTTAATATTTTTATAGCTAAAAAAATTTTTTTTCTATCAAATAAAGTTGGATAATCCTCGAGAATAATTCCTCTATGACCAATATAACCGAATTTATTTTTATGCACGTTCTTTCATCGACTCCATTTTTGGACGAGCTAGAGTGTTTACAAAGTTTTTCTAGGAAATAACAGAAAAACGGAAATATCTCCGACACTACTGATGCGATTGAACCCATTTTCAATACGAAATATTGCTATCACGAGAGGAAGATTCTGTCCAAATATCAAGTTGATATATCCATTTTTGCACAATCTAGAGTGTTTACAAAGTTTTCTACGAAAAAACGGAGAAACTCGACTATCTCGAAAACTTCGTATGAACTGATATATGTATATATTTTGATTGATTTAGATAGAAGATATCGAAACGAATACTTTGAAAACAAAAAAATCAAAATCAGTCCATTAGTTTTGAAGATATTTACGGAAAACGATTTAAAACCGAATCATTTTTTCTTTAAAACTGTTAGATCGATCGAGCTGAAATTCTGCACAGAGTTAGTCCTCATTAAGACCTATAATCTGATAAAATTTCAGATTTTTTGGAATTACTTTAGCCACTTAATTAGTGAATTTTTTAAAAATTGACCACTGGGAAGGGGGCGGTGGGCGAATTATCGATATAATTCTCTTCTGATTGGTCCATGGGAGGTTGAATACCGCAATTCTATTGTTCGGAGGGGTGACAGGGGAAATAATTATCTTTATTCAACAATTTGCTACGAGAGAAATGCACTTAAATAATATTCTCATTCTTCTAACATTCTTTTCAGTGTTCTGTATGTTCAAGACACTTTGGATTCAGAGCCCAGAGTATTCCTAGATCCAAATACACTGTCGGAAGATGGTTCTATCGCCATTACGAGTACAAAGTTCAGTGAGGATGGTAGCATATTTGCCTATGGATTGTCAAGCAGTGGCTCTGACTGGAGTAGTATCCATTTTATCAATACAAATACAGGTTTGTTATTTTTTACAGATATCTACACTCAGAGAAAATAGTATATTTCGTTACGAGTGCGGAAGAGTTTTTCGTTACGAGTGGCTCGTGGGATTATATCGCTCGCCTTCGGCTCGTGCTATAAATCTCCCACGAGCCAAAAAACTTCCCACGAGTATCGAACGATATTTTTCATCACGCTGTGACGAAAAGTGAACTTTTCGGTACGCTCCGCGTGCCTAAAAGTCCAATTTCCGCCACATTGTGATGAAAAATATTGTTCGTAACTCGTGAAAAAATGTTTTTTAGCTCGTGGGATTATATCACTCGCCTTCGGCTCGTGATATAAACCTCCCACTCGCCAAAAAACACTTTTTTGCACTCGTTACGAAATATAGTATTTCATCACAACGAGTGGAAAAGGGGCGTACAGCGTGATGAAAAATATTTTATATTTCATATTTTATTTTTAATATTTTATATATTTTTTTAGAGACTTTTGAAATTCTCATTTTGAGATCGTAAGCCTCAAAATAAACCTTATTCTTTTTGCATGAATCTCTTATCTTTGAATTTTAGGTAACCGCAACAAAAAACTATTCTCCTTTGTTTCGCATAAAACGAAAAAAAAATCATGGAAGTATAGAATAACAAATGGGCAATAGTTGGCCAGTAAATAATAGTTTTTCAAAACAACTGAATCTATTTTTACGGCTAAAAATTTTCATCTCAGTATAATCTCCAAATGTTCAATGCGAGGTTTTTAATTTTTTCAATAATTTATAATTTGCCATTGATTCAGTTTGAACGAAATTTGTTTTACTAAATGTTTCTTTTTTCTCAGTGTGTATTGTGTATAGAATTCCATCGATATCCCAAAAACTGATAAATTTAGATGCCCTAGATTTCCGGGAATATGTTCTGTCGGTTATTACTTCTCACATTTTCGTGATAAATTAGACCCTGTTCGTATTTATGTGACCAAGTTTTTCTTTAATTGCTCGCTAATGAATCGATGGAATCTATTCTTTTTTTTCAAATGTAGAATCAAAAAGGGATAATCGGCTAGACAATGGAATTTTTTCTTTTATATTAGCGGATCTTCGAATCACTTTTTTCCTTCAAGTATTAGAGGGACATCAATATTTCAGCGAGAAGGAATTAAAAAAATACAATAAAAGTGGGTGGGAGAACTAAAGAATTAATTTTTCAATGTCTCCGGAAAGTTTTAAATTAGATCTTTTTCTTTTGACCAATGACAGAATACCCATAAATTCGATTTCAATCTTTGTCTTTTGATAGAATGAAGAGAATTACATGAATATCAATAAATTACAAAAATCACGAATTGGAGACTGAAATTTTTTAGAAAGGGCTGATCGGCTAGAAACTGGAGAAAATTTGTTTTTCTTCGAATATAGACGGGATATGAATATTTCGAAATTTTATGATCTAACTTTAACGAAAGAAAATGAATAAAATACAAAAAACATAGGCCAGAAGAAATTTAAAAAATTAATTTTGCAATGTCTCCCCAAAGTTTTAAACTCAATATTTTTTTTTTTTGAATAATAGAAGAACACCCATATATTCGATTTCTATCCTTGTCTTTTGATAGAATGATTAGAATCACATAAATTTGTTTTTCTTTGAATACGGACGGTACTGAATATTTCTGAATTTTATGATCTAATTTTAACGAGAAAAAATGAATCAAATATAGAAAAACGTAGGCCAGAAAAAAAATAGTTTTGCAATGTCTCCACAAAGTTTTAAACTCGATATATTTTTTCGAATAATGGAAGAATACCAAAAAATTCTATTTCCATCTCTGTCTTTTGATACAAGGAATAGAATAAATAACAGAAATTGAGAATTGGAGACTAAAAATTTTATCTGATTATTATTATGTAATTTTAAAGGAGAAAAGTATCCCGAAGTCCTTGAGAAGATCAAGTACTCACCCTTGACGTGGACACATGACAACCAGGGAATATTCTATGGAACTTATCTAGAGCAGAAGGGAGTAACTGATGGCTCTGAAACACTCTGTGCAAGAGACCAGAAGTTGTGTTACCATCGAGTGGGAACTCCACAGTCTGAGGACGTCATCGTTGTAGAATTCCCCGAGGAGCCCCTCTGGAGAATGTATGAGTCATTTAGGGTCATTCAAATCTGTGTGGAAATGGTGACTAAAGATCATCGAACATTTACCCGAGATTATTTTGCGATTATTTTATGACCGAAGTGGTTTATCAGGATTCGTCATGAGACCTATTCGTAACTCTTGTAATTTCTTGCGAAAGGGGTCACTTGGGGAATGCTTGTGAACCTCTTCGTTTTCACGATATTCAGGAAATAATAAGCGCGTAAATTATCGACTTTGTACCCTGAAATTTTCCCAAAATTCTCATAATTTTTTATATTTTTTTTATTGTTTTAGAGTGACGTAGCCCATATAGTAGGTTACTTACACTGTCATTGACATTTAATATACTATATTACATTCTCTTATTTATCTCACGTGATTTATATCTGCAGTTGAAGATCTTTCAAGTATTTACTTATCTTCTCAATATATTCATGGTCAGTTGCATCTGTAAATTTTTTGTAGTTAAGGATATCCAATTACTTTGGCTATTTTTTCTCCAGTGAATTCATTTGAGCCCCATTGACCCTTTGTTTCCGGACATTTTACAATGATTTTGTTATTTAAATTTTGCAGTTCTGAATTTGAATCTCCATATTGAACCGTTAAAAAACATTTAAAAATCTGAAAATTTAGAAAGTGTACTTTTAGGGGAAGATTGATTTTCTATAAATAAATAACTTTCATAGCAAAGTTATTCATATTCAGAATTTTACTAAAAATCGATTTCACGCCCAAAGAAATAAGGTTTCTGAAAATATAAACAATTTGCATTATTTATTTATAAACTTATTTATAAACAACTTCAATGATTTATTCAAACAACGAATGTTTGCATAATTCTGTGCAAAATGTAATTTGAATGACGCTGAATATTCACGATTTTTTTCAAATTATTGTTGACTCTATAGTGGGCTCTATACTAAACTGTCAAAAATACTTGGATATCGTTAAGTGATTTATATCTACAGTTGACAATCTCTCAAGTATTAATACATCTCCTCAATATATTTATGATCAATTGCATTAGTAATTTTTTTTTATAAAGGGCATGGAACAACTCGATTTTCTCAATATGTCTAATAGTTTCTCGTAAATTTATTCATGTATCATTGCTGTTATTTTTTGTGACAGTGGAGCAGAAGTAACAGATTGTGGAAAATGGTTGATCATTACTCCTCTGAAGGATTGTAGAGATAACCTGGTGTACTTCACAGCACTCAAGCCAGGAAAGAAAATCGATGGAAAACTACAGTTGACTAAAATAGTTGAGAAATTCGAAGCTGATTATGAAGTTAGTACATTAATTATTATATAATATCCATTACAAAGCTGTGAAAGAAAGTCCCGAAATGTCCAGAAAGTCCAAAATTTTCTATGAAAATCTCTTGGCATTTTCTTCTAATTCTTGTGCTTGCAGAATAATCTACGAATTTCACTGGATGATTTCCATTTTTCTGAAACTTTTTCTTTCAAAATGATTTTTTTTGCTTCCGAATGGATGTTTTGTAATCGCTTCAATAAAGTTTCCAATCAAACCAGATGTTCCAAAGGATCGTGGAGAAATAAATTTACAACATCGATTAAATTGTCATAGTGCGGCGTTTCACTAAATATTTTAGCTTCATCAGGCTGTTAACGCATTCAATGCAAAGTTCTAAACGCTAACAGTAGTGCAGGAGTATCCATTAGCACTAACTATACTCAATTCAAAAAATACAATTATCCACTTGTTTTCATTTTCAGTACATTACGAATGATGGCACCAAAGCAATCTTCAGAACCAACAAAAATGCCCCTAATTACTGTCTCATATCCATCGATTTGGAGGATTACGCTGAATCCAAGTGGACTGTATTATTACCAGAGCATTCAGAAAGAGTTCTGGACTGGGTTGATGCAGTAGATGGAGATAAATTGATGGCATGCTTCATTGAAGATGTCAAGGTAACTTGATGAGCGTGTAGAGAAACAAATTCGTAGTTTTCGCAATCGTGTTACTGATTTTTAAAAATTCACGGTGCTAAAAGGCTTTTTACTGAGGTAGAAAAACAGGGTGTTCATTTCAAGGGAAAAGTCTCTAAAATTTGATAGCAAAAATTTAATTTCAAGTCAAAAAAGCTATTAAGGCCCGGGTGTGCTATCTTTCCCACGTTATCTCGATGTTTTTTTTTTCATTTTTCGTCATCTGAAATTGTCAATTGAGTCCTGCATCATGCAGAAGTTTTGAAAAATTATGAATGAATAATAAAAAAAAGTAGAAGAAATTCTTAATTTTTTCAAAAAGCATTTTTAATTTATATTCAGATTAAGTTGAATAACACGAAATTGAAAAATGTGTCGGATTTACGGTGACAAATGGCGGCCTGTCACCCAATATCAGGCAGGGGAAGACTGATTTCGTAAATCTTTTCCCACACTGCACAGAGACATTTATTACGGAAAAGGCTCTTTGAAAAAAGTTGTAATATTTTGGAGAATTTTTTAATCACACTTTTATCACATAAAAATGGCAGATGACTACATACCACTGTTTTGAAAATTGAGATACCTGGCTGTCACTTCCCATGAGGAGTTAGTGTTTTGGAACCCACCATGGAAAATGACAACTAATAGATAATTTGCCACAGTGAATCATATATTTGTAATTTTCACTTTTTTCAACTCATTCTCAATCTCAATTGAAAACACTCTTTGAAAAAGTTCAGAATTTTTTCTATTTTTTTTATCATTCTATCATAATTTTTGTGAATTTCTACATGATGTACCACTCAATTGGCAATTTTGGATTAAAAAAGATAAAAAAAATCCAGATAACATTCGAAAGATAGTACACCCGAGCCTTAAGTCCTGAATCAAGTTTCAAGTTTCCGTTTTTGAACTGTGAACATTCGAGAGGGATAAAATTAGGCAATAATTGAATCTTAATTGAGTCAAGTTGAGTGGTGATATACTTTTAATAATAAAGAGGTTATAGGTATGAATAGATCAATTTCGGAATAGGGAAATTCTTCAATTTATGATCGAAAATGATATAAATTTGAGACCTCCAAAGTTTTGGAATTGTATTAGATTTCAGTGAGAATTATTGAAAATTGTGAATTTTCCCTCCGATTTTTAGGGAAATTTGCTTTAAAAATGAGTGAACATTTCATCCATTTTCAATATTTTTTACTCACTAGGTTTTAGTACGACAGAGTTTCGAAATTCAGAAATTTTTACTGGAAACTAAGAACATTTTTTCCATGTGAATAAGAATGTTAAATCACTTAATAGGAAACAATCATTATTAACTAGTCATGGATGATAATTCAACCATTGATTTTTTATTTATTTAATTAACCATCACTTAAAATGGGAGTACATTATCAATAATGTAATTATCTTCATATTCCTTCCCCACTACAAGAAAGGAATTGAAAATTTGCTCGAAAATCACTCATATGTGAAATAATAATTCAATAATTAACTAAAACAATTAGTGAATTATTTCATTTCATTCCTCAAAAATTGAAAGCACAATTGTCAATTGAAATAGATGACTTCTGAGTACTCATTGATAATGAATAGAAACAAGTTTCAATCACTAGCAATCAATCGAGTGAAATTATGCAAATTTCCTCCGATTTGTAGGGAAATTTGCTTTAGAAATGAGTGAAAATTTAATCCATTTCCAAGATTTTTTGCTCATTAGGTTTTAGTACGACAGAGTTGTAAAATTGAGAGATTTTTACTGGAAATTAAAAACGTTTTTTCTTTGTGGAAGAGAATGTTAAATCACATAATAGGGAACAATTATTATTTACAATTCATGGGTGATAAATCAACCACTATTTTTTAAATTAATTAATTAACTAATTAATCAATTATTTAACCTTTAATAAGAGTCGGAGTACATTATAAACAGTGCAATTATCCCCATATTCCTTCCCCACCACAAGAAAGGAATTGCAATTTTACTCGAAAATTATTCATATGTTAAATAATAATTCACTAATTAACTAAAACAATTAGTGAAATACTTCCTCCCATTTCTCAAATTGAAAACGAAATTGTCAATAAAAAATGATGACTTGTGAGTCCTCGTGAATGATAAATGGAAACAAGTATCAATCAATCATAATGTTAACTGTTACGGGAATAAAAATCTTGAAGAAAAATATACAAATAAAATAAATTGCACGAATAGTCAATAAATTGCATATTTTTTCCAGCACGTTTTGCAACTGCACAGTCTCAAAACTGGTGAAGTACTGCGAAAATTTCCACTAGATCTCGGCACAATAGTGGGTTACAGTGGTGATAAGAAGTACTCGGAAGTCTTCTATCAGTTCACTTCATTTTTGACCCCAGGAATTATCTACAGGGTTGATCTCAAGAGCGATGAAGAACCAAAAGTGAGTACTGAACAAAACACAATTCATTCAATGACTGGCAACATCGGCACGTGGCTTATAAAATTTTTAATTAACAGGTATTTCGAGAAATCAAAGTCAATAATTTTGATCCAAAGGCTTACAAAACGTCGCAGGTGTTTTATACGAGCAAAGATGGCACTCGAATTCCCATGTTCATCGTTATGAAGGCGGTAAATATTATCTGTTACTGATGTATTTAGTAGAGAAGTGCTGAAACAGTTTGAGTTAAGAACATCTTCATTGTTGATTGCCAAATGCAGTCAGCAATGAATGGTGCTCAATAAATTCATGGGAAATTTTTTTTCTAGCTCGCGCAATTGTCTAGAGGAATAATCTCGATAGATTTTGTCTAAAAATCAATGTTTTTCCTAAATAATTACCAGATCGTGAAGACTGTTCCTCAGAATTTTTCAATTATTTGGACTTATCTTCATTGTTAATTGTGACTATTGTGGTAATTCTCTTGGCAATGATTGAAATAATTCTAAGAGATGTTTTTCGTAGAAATTTCGTGGGCTACAATCAATACTCTTCGTATTTTTTTCCTGTAATTACTCATTTGGTGGAGAATTATCTCTGTGAGAGATACCTATCTCGAATATGCTATTTTTAGACCATGTCCAGATGTGTGTATGTCTCCTCTGTGCGTATGTGTGTATGTGACCGATCGTTTTTCGACGATAATTGAAAAAATAATTGGTTACATAAATCCAATTGTGATTTGAAATATTCTTCTCAATGTCATCTTGACCGAGTTCGATCATGAGATTGATTGCATCTGCTGCTGAAAAAAATTATTTTGAAACCAATATTAAGGGAAAGTTCAACAATTTTAACATTGGGGCAATGCTGGCTACCAACGTTGGGACAATGTTGGCTACCTACGTTAGGGCAAAGTTAGCTGCCAACGTTGGGACAATGTTGGCTGCCAATGTTAGTGTAATGTTGGCTGCCAACGTTGGCACAATGTTGGTTGCCAACGTTGGGAGAATGTTGGCTGCCAACGTTGGGACAATATTGGCTGCCGACGTTGGGTCAGTGTTGGCTGCCGACGTTGGGACAATGTTGGCTGTCAACGTTGGGACAATGTTGGCTACCAACGCTGGGATAATATTGGCTACTTTAGTGTAAGGTTGGCTGTCAACATCGGAACACTATTAGCTACCAACGTTGGAGTAATGTTGGCTGTCAGCGTCAAGGGGAGACTATTTTTTTTTTTATCGTTATTTTTACATCGCTTCGACCCGGTTTGAGTATACTGCGATGATGATCAAGACTTTAAATGGTTAGATCGCACCATTCTACCCGGCCGGGATTTGAACCCGGAACCTTTCGCATGTGAGGCAACGAACTTACCCACTGCGTCAAGCCACCGGCCAGGGGAGACTACTATGAGTTTTAAAAGTCGCGGGCGACTGGAATGAGATTTCTCATGCCTTGAAGATCGATTATATAGGTCTAAAAACAAATAACTAGTGCAAAAAAATTAATCATTTATTGTTCGCTTACCCCACACATGCTTAATATGTTAAACATAGCCCACGGCCTCCAATTTTTGAGCCATTTTTTTTTAATTTTTGAAAAAATGTGTAAAATAACAATGACGAATTAGTTTTTTGAAATTCGACTCCTACACAGCTAATTTCGTTTTGTAATATAAAAATTTGCGTCATTCATGTAAAATAGATAAAACTTATAGTAGTCTCCCCTTAAATTTGAACAATAACAAAGCTTCCATTCAAAAGCAATAAAATTATGAAAACTGAATGAAAAAGAAGGATACATCATTGACAGATATTTTTACAGCTTATATTCTGTTGCATTTAGAATGCTGTCCTGGATGGATCTATGCCTGCACTACTCTATGGCTATGGTGGCTTTAATATTAGCGTTCAACCGACGTTTAGCGTCACTCGACTTGTATTTATTCAGCATTTCAATGGACTCCTGGCTGTGGCAAATATTCGGGGTGGAGGGTACAGATCGTTCTTCAATAAAATTAATCTTCCCTTTCATAAATGGAGATATTTCTGTAATTCCGTTGTTTTACCACAGAGAATATGGGGAGAAGTGGCACAACGGTGGACGTTTTCTGAATAAGCAGAATACTTTTGACGATTTTCAATGTGCAGCTGAATACTTAATAGAGAAGAAGTACACAACGTCTAAAAAATTGACGATTCAAGGTGGAAGTAATGGAGGATTGCTCATTGCTGCTTGCATCAATCAGAGACCTGATTTATTCGGTGCAGCTATTGCAGAAGTTGGGTAAATATAGACAATGTTTTTTAACTATTATTTCAGTCGGGAAGCCTTCGTTAGATGGAAAAATTTTAATAAGAGCTTTTTTTGTAGAACTCATTCTGCTCTACGAAAAATATTTATTCAGAAATTTCTCCATCTCCTTTAGATTTCGAGATATTTTTGAAAAACTACTTTTTTGGAAGGACAAAATTTTGTTTTTTTCTGCATTTCATCTTTGAATTTGTGACAGCACCAAAAAAAAATGCTTTTGTTAGTAAATTTTCTGAACTTTACGAAGGAAAAAAAAAGATTTGGGAACGACCCCAAATAGCCGTTTGAAACTTTCTTTTTGAACTTTCTTTGCCGAAATATATGAATACATAAAGAAAAAAATTTTTTTTTTCGAAAAGCTGAGAAAATTTCCGACGAATTCTATGGCTTAAAATTTTTGGATCGTTCTTAGTGGCTCGTAATTAGAATTGAAGAAGTTTTTAGAAGAAAAAAACATTCAAATTTCAATAATTAAGTTAGAGAGCTCCGATTGCCCTCATTTTTCTTCTTTTGGACGATACTTTTCGATAACAAATAGAAAAGAAACGTTTTAGAAATTTTGAGACAATTTTTCATATTCAGAATTGGCGTATCCGCTCATGTATAGAATATTTTATGTGACGGATACATATATACTATATTACATATGTATTTTTTATTCCAGTAAGAAATGAATTTCTCTTTTTTTATAATTACTGTAAACAAGAGCTTACAATACATAAAAAAATATACATAGACATCATCAAGCGGCTTCAAAAATCGTTACACTGGATTTTTTTAAAGTGAATCATTCACCTAGTATAGCATCCGATAAATAACCATGAAAATATTATTTAGTATATTTTATTTTTGTATAATCAACTTATTCATTTTTCAATAAACTTAACTAATCATTAATTAGATTATTTTTGAATAGTAGACTCGATTTGTGGATTTAAACTTTGGCTGTGAGTTCGAAAAGAATGGAAATTTTGTTGAGCGTCTGTGGTTATTTAAAAGCACTTTTAATCATAGAAAATAGACTTGCTCTGATGTTCAAAATACATCAACTACGCATGTATTTTGAGAACAAGTAATTTTAGAATAAAAAATCAGAATTTAAACTTAAAAACTGATGAAATTTCCAGTGAAAGTATCTATCCGTAGTTTCGTCTGAACTCATTTTCAGGTGAAATTATTCCGTAATAACAACAAAAATCTATTCCTCTTTAAAAAAATTGAGGTCACCTTTTGTGTCAGCAATCTATTTCGCCAGGGATATCCTTAGGGATATTTAGGGCTTACGAACAAGAATAATCTTTGTACGGGATCCTAGATTATATAAATTGGTTTTTTTAAATTTCCTTTGGAAATAAATATTTTAAAATCCCCTTGGAATATCTCAATTATTGATTGATAAAAAATTGATGATTACGCCTTCGAAACAAATATCTTCTATTTTCGAAAAAAGTCAATTTTACATAAACGTAACTATGAATACCTTTAAAAAAAGAAAAATAATCAAAACTTGATAAGCAATAATCACCAACACTTATTAATGAATGGACAATGAAATGGACAATGAAACAATTATTTATTGTCCGAAATAATATGATTCTAGCTACAATAGATCGTGATTAAAATATATGTTCATTAAACTTTACTTTAATTTCCTTATTAGTATTTATTTTATTAAATTTTTTAAAACTTCATCCTCAGCCAAAAAGGCGCAAAACTACTACTACACAAAGGTTTTTTATTCAACAAATTACGAATTTGTGGAGCAGACAAACATGTTAAGTAAATAATAATGAATAATTACACCGAGGTCGGTAAAAACGTTGTAATATTACTTCCAATAATAAAAACGACCAATAATAATTAGACCCCGTAACAATTTGGATCGTAATATTATTTACCGTAATATTATGGCGTAATATTTTTTACCGTAACATTTAGATCGGATACTACGTTAACACTGGGAAGGTGGAATGATTTTCTGTCGAAAATTCTCATGAATAATTTGTCCTAAAACGAATGTAAAATTTTCAGAGTTATGGATATGCTTCGTTTCCACAAATTCACGGTAGGCTATGCTTGGGTGTCCGACTACGGTAGTTCTGACGAAAAACAACATTTCGAGAATCTGATGAAATTTTCACCACTCCATAACGTTCGAGCTCCAGAGAATGGCACTCAGTACCCTGCAACACTGTTATTAACTGCTGATCACGATGACAGAGTTGTGCCATTACACAGTTTGAAGTTAATAGCTACAATGCAGCATAAACTTGGGAAGCTGCCGCAACAGAGTAATCCAATTTTGGGAAGAATCGAGACGAAAGCGGGGCACGGGCATGGTAAACCCACGACTAAAATCGTAAGTATGAGCAGGAGGAAATAATAAAATGCTTAATTAAGGTGACGGGATTTCCCATAAAAAAAATACGTGATAAAAATGTTTGAAAAAATTGAAAATATTCTGGAACATTAGTGCAAAGAAAATAGACTGAGAGAAAAGCGAACAAGTTCTCAAACAAGTCTTGCTTGGGCCGACAAAATCGTTAATTGAAAATTACCAAAAAAAATTATTGTTTGGTTCGAATTTGAGAGTCTCAAACATGAATAATTTCTCTGCTTTCAACAACAACTAAATATTTGGCTTAAGAGGCGGATCGTTCACACAAGACGGTGCATTTTCCGGATAAAAATATATTTTACAGAGGGAAGTTTATAAAGAAATATTTTATTATTATTTTATTTAAAAATTTATTTTTTGTTTGCGATTATTGAATAGCCGAAACGACAAACTAGTATCCCCCGTTTCATATAAAAAGAGCATTTTCCGGGAGCGCAATACGTATGGGCCGATCCATGCCACTTTATGCCCTTTTTGGGCTATTGGAAGTTCCACTGAGAGAAAAATTTCGTAATACGTAGACCATATTTATTTGAGAGAAGTAAATTATTTTCAATGGTTTTAATCTCAGAATGTTTGTGGTTCACGGAACTCGAATGAATTCTCATTTATCACTATCGTTGCACATTATATCAGGAATATATTGCATATCGAAATATTGGAACTGCATAAAAAAAAAATGAAAACAATGAAGACTTGAAGATTGACCATTCTTCTACGCGATTTAGATTTCGATTTATTCAGCTGTTTTTACAGGTGCAACCTTGCAACAGGATAATTGTACATATTTAAGATGACTAATAAACAATCCATAATAACTACTCTGACTTTGCCAATACAGAAAAATTAATTTAAGTTGAGACCTTAAGAGCGAGAAGGGGACAGGTTCAATATTAAAAGGCTTAACTAGAAGAATAATATACAACAATATAATATACTATAATCCAGTTCAAATAAAATTCAGATAATCAAAGTGTGCTATGTGGAAACTCTAGAATTTTCACGTCACAATTCAACGTCTAATGCCATTAAATGCATAATAGTGTACAATTACATAAAACAATTACCACTGGGTGGCTAGAGTGGCTTAAAATAGTTTATGATAAGATTGACTTTCTGGATTACATTACGTGGCTATCGAGAAAAAGAAAAGCCCCCAGTCGGGGTGATTGAGGTGCTGAGGGCAGCGGTCCTGATCCTCAAAGCACATTTAAGGTCCGGGTGTACTATCTTTCAAATGTTATCTCGATTTTTTTTTCTTTCGTCATCTGAAATTGTCAAAAAAAGTAACAGGAAGTTACTATGTGTTACATTTATGTTGCAATGAAACATTGATACCGAAATGCAATGATTATAATAATCACTGGATGATAGGATTTAGAATAGAAATAATTACCAGTTTTATTGAAGGTCAGATGATTCAGTTTTTTGACATATGACGTTTTTATTCAGCTTAATTTTTGGTACAGTCAATATGCACAATGAATCATATTAAGAATCGTAATTCGTACAGAAATGGCATTCATAAAAAAAATGTTGCAAACAAAGTGATTTTTTGCACCAAGAGCATCTTACTACTTCAACATTGGGAACAGCCTTCAATGTCACTGTGGATGAGATGATTGTCCAAATGCAAAATCGTCAGAATTTTCAAATTCATCAGGTTTTTTAACAATATCACCACTTTGAAACTAAGCGTAACGAAATAAATTTTGATACCTTGGTGATGATAATTGATTATGGACTAAAGACTGTAACTTTATTATATTATCCCTCAAGTGTAAATTAAGATCGTAGTCAAGGAGGACAACAGTATCCGAAAAATGACGGACATAATTTTTCCATATTCTGAAACCATATACATCAAGGGGTTGAATTTTTCCAGTTGTACCCTTTGGTATCAACAATTGTTTACTTGGAGGAGTTGCTTCTTGTACCGCTTGAGGACAGTGCCCGCTCCACGAATCTATCAACAGTAGATTTCTAGGTCGCACATTCGGACAAAACGCTTCCTTCAACCAGGTTTTAAAATGCTCTAAAAAATCAAGTATTTTTTAATAATACCAATTGTTGTATTGAAAATATCATAGGCTCTTGTCTTGAATATCATCTCACCTGAAGTAAGTTTTCCCGATTTTGAAGCCGTGACGAAAATATTGGATGGTCGAAAAAGATTGTGTTCCACCATTGGGCCAAAAGTTCCGGAAGGTTCTTTCAAAACCAGAAAGAGAGGTGATAGTAATTTACCATCAGCAGAAATGATGGGTTATATCGTGTAACTATGTGTTGTTGAGGTTACCGATTGTACTATACACGCCACTTGTTTTGCGCGTTCCTCAGCTAAAGTACGCCCCGAATGAAATTCTAATTGAAAACCACTTTGATCAGAATTATAGATGTTTTCTGGGCCATAGGTAGCAAAATGAGGCTGAACTTCCTGGAGAAATTCGTCTGATTGTTTTTGTAAAGCTTCTCGATTCTCCAATGTTTTCCGCGTAACGAATTTATTAATCTTTCGGGATGTAATACGGTGTGCTTTCTTGAAATAATGCAACCACCAGGGCGAAGCCTTGAAACGAACGTCTTTGAATCCGATTTCTTCCTGGGCTTCCAGAGCCCACCTTCGTACATCAGTATCGTGAACGATTAATCCCGCATCAATAGCATTCTTCATATTTTTCAATGTGTACTCCGAAATACGTTTCAACTTCTCCATATATGTCCCTCCTTTATTTATTTGGTGCACCCAGCGTCGTAACTGTCGACTCGATTTCATCTTTTTAAATCGATGTGCAACAGTTTTTACAGAGAGGTTTTCCTTTGTTTTTGCACTTCCCCAGAACTCAACTGCTCTCTTTCTATAGTCGAAATCTACGGATTTCTCATCCTCCGAACTTTGAGATGATTCTTTGGTATGTGGTTGAAATTTTTCATCCTCGACCGCCATCATTTCTATATCTTTATAGAGCTCTTGAAAATCTAGAGATGTTTCTTCAATCAGTTCAACGCCACTGTATTCCTCCATGGATTGAATTAATATCCTTTGGAAGGTGTCCGCTAATTCGCGTTCCTCATTGTTCACAGGCGTTTCAGCAAGATTTAGAACTTCAAATGTTGTCATGAGAAGTCTGATAACGTTATTTGGATTAACTTTCATTATGAAACGGGCACAGAAATACGATACTCACAGAGAGGCTGTTTTCGTTGATGGACACTTGTAAACTGATTGTGATTGTGTTTGCATGAGGAATTAAAACGTAAAACGCTGATATTGTAAGCCGTGCATATTTATCACCGTGGTGTTATTGTTAAACAAGACAGATGACATTCGGATGGATATTTGTATAACTCTGGCATACTGTTCTGATGTGGATTTGAATTATCGCGACAATGTCATTATCATATGTCCTCATTAAAATTTTTTCAAAAACAATACAAACATCAGGGTCGTAAGATCATCTCATTTGAAAATTATTTTCAATTCATTCTATTCTACACCACTGGCCAAATTTTTTCCAGGAAAGATCCAAAAGGGACATTGCGTGTTATTTTCATGCTTTTTCAAATCGGAATCATTCCATAAAATTTCGGGCAATAGTTTTTTCATGAGGAAACTGACTCTTCGCGGGGGTAGTTTGACCCCCAAACTTCATCCTCCGGAGACGATTCCAATGGTTTTTTTCATCATTCCCCATGAGCTTTTGTTTACACTGCAAAAAATTTCAAAGTGGACTAATTCCAGGAAATTGATCTTCTTTTGCCTTTAAATTGCAATTTAAAAAAGAATGCAAAAAAAGTATTTTTGTATTTTTTTATGCACTTTCAAATGAAATTGGTTTCATGAAATTCGGAGCGATATATATTTTTTTTATTGAATAAATGACTTCACGGGGGTAGTTTACCCCCGAAATTTCACTCCTCGGAGATGATTTCAATTTCTATCCTAATCATTTTCCATGAGCTTCCTGTTATATTGCAAAAAATTTGTCTAAATATTCTCGCTATGTGCGCAATTGAAGAAATACCCCGGGAAGTGATCAACTTCAAAGGGCAGTTTCACCCCCTAAACACGGGTATGGGCCGATAAAAAAAAATACATGGCACTTAGTTTTGAGTCCTCTATAACATATTCAAGTTTCATCAAAATCGGAGGCGGACACCTACCTAGTGTTCCTTGTCAGTTGACAATTTTGGATTACGAAAGATAAAAAAAAATCTGGATAACATTTGGAAGATAGTACACCCGGGCCTTAACGTAGAAAACAGTTTCTTAACAACCAGATCAAGGTTCTCTAGTAGCAATACCAAAGTCCCATTTGATTGAGGACCTGGGCTCGAAGAACGTAAATAGTATATTTCGTCATTAGGCCGAAAAAAACTTTTCTGGCGAATATGAGGTTTGCAGCACGAGCCGAAGGCGAGGGCTGCAATCATATTCGTCAGCACACGTGTCTCAAGAAAATATGTTTGAGATATCATAAACTTTTTTTCTCAGTGTAGTAAATTGCGTTGCTATTTAGCGCACTGCGAGATTAGTGTCAAAAGGACTCCGTCCTTGATGGATTAACGAATTATTATAAACAATTAACAGATATAATAAAAAACCTGACTTCACCACATAATTTGGTAATCAATATTAATTGAATGCCGTTACCTTAAACAAAAGGAAATCAAATGATTGTTTCTATAATTGCTTTATTTTTCTTATGATCTTAGATTGAAGAACGCACCGATATACTATCATTCATGACTCAAACGCTGGGCCTGAAGTTCTACAAATGAATAATAAAACTGAGGAATTTATCATGAAGTGCAAGTTTTTCACGTGGGAAATAAATTTTTTTGTATATTTCCTCGATTACATTTTTTCCCATTAAACCTCGATATCTGTTTTGCTACTCAATACTGTTATTTTTACAGCTGCCCACCACCTGCAATATTTTGGACAAGAAGTCGTATCACGTGTCCAGCACGTGCCAGACGCTTATCTCGCCAATATGAATACACGAATACCCACTTTTCCTTACGATGAAGTTATTTTAAACGACTCGGAGGAAGGAAAATCGAAATTGTATGGAGGAAAAAAGGGGAATATAAAAATTGAACGACCAGGCCAGATATAAATGATGAATTTTTATAATACTTGCGAACGGGCGCTTCACGCCCGTCGATAGATTATATTATATTATATTTTTATTATTTTCTTTCCAATTTTTTTTGTGGTTAGATTAAATTAAATTTATTGGATTCTATTCCCATTGTAGTATACAAATTGTGGGAACAATTTTTCTCATTTTCAAATGAAGAGATATTTATGTTAAACTAAGCAAGACGCGCGCTTAGCGCACGCTAGTTAGGCTGCATGGTTCTGATACTGAATTCGACACTAAAGAACTGATGCAAATATTTGTATCTGTTCTTCAATCTCGAATTCTTGAGTCAAATTCTTGATTGCATCGACTGATCGAAGTCACTTGACAACTGCACCAATAAGAAACTACATCAAAATTGCAATGTTCCCAGCGAATGGAACCAACGTAATGTCTATACACAGAAAAACATTCTTGATTCAAATCGAATATTAAGCCCTTAATCGAACCGATTAAGATTTAATTAAATCAAGAATCATACCAAGCAGATTTCATTAATTTGGATTGAGTATATCCAAACAAGTCATAGTGATTTTTTTTTAAATAGAAGTAGGAATTTTCGCCTCAAACTTTTATAAGTCTGCGAAAAATGGCTGAAATAAAGTGGTTAATCTCTCAATTTGGAGTTTATTCAATGAGCTTCATGTCGGACATAGAAGTTTTACGAGTTTTTCTACGAGAAAGACACCAGCTCGGGACAAAACACTGCCACACTTTCCAATTTGTGACTTACAAAATCTGACACATACACCACATAGCATACAACCCGCATCGTCACAATTGGAAGAACGAAAAATGTCCTCTAAGAATGACCTATTGATTTCTTCGCTGATTCGACTCAAAGCGCTACAAAAATCCATCGCAATTTGAATTTTCGAATAACCCATGGAGGAATAAATGTTTGCCAAAAAATCTCATGAGTCTGCGAAAAATGAGCTTCACAACTGATATGCGATTTCTACTGATAATCAAGTCAGAAAATAATAATTCAGGACAAAACGATGAGAAAATGTGAAATTTTCAATTTGTGACATGCCAAATTCGAAACATAATTACCTACAACAATGGATCAAGTGGACGGAATGAAGAAAAATCGTACGTAATTTTGAAGATGTCATTGAGATCTTCAAATTGGTGTGAAATAAATCTACATTGGCCAAGTACAAAGGTCCAAAAATGAATGAAAAGGCCGAATTTTGGGGTGTGACATGAGCTTCGAAACAACAACAATCTCCAATGAATTCCTGAAAATTCAATCAAATCGTATTCTATACATCACAATTTGAAGAACCAATTACACCCTTCAAGATGATATGCTAACTTCCCCGCTGATTCAACTCAAAGAAATAGAAAAATCCAGCCAAAGTTAAATTTTCAAGTTAGACGCGAAAAAACAATTTTCTTGCAATAAAAGAAAAAAATGAAGAAAAATAACAATTCTTTGCCTGTAAGTTCCATAGTGAGAATGAGAAATGACCAGAATCCAATAATTCCCTTATCAATTTGAGTATAAAATATATATGGTTTGTCAAAAAGGGAGAACGGCATTAGCATGCAAACCCGAAAAAGGACCAGCGTCACGATTACGAATTGCCCTATTGGGGATCAGAAATATTATGCATCATTTTGAAGAAAAATAAATACCCTTCAAAATGGTATATGATGAGTTTCATTCGCTTCAGAAAATCCAATCCAAACTGACTTTACGATAAAATTATGGAAATTTATGTTCTGAATAGGATCTTTTATAAATGAATGGGAATTGCAGATAAATGAATGAATCAGGCTGAAGTAATTCAATGTATTTGCAGCTTAGTATGAAATTTCTCTATAGATTCGGACAGAAACCGAGAAAGTCCCGTCATTGAGAGGAAGAAATTGGCACTTTTCAACACGTGACATCCTAAAATCGTTACATCATCGTTTATAACAATTCATGTAGTGAATCGAATGGATAATATAAAGTATCAATATGAAGATCTCGATGAGACCTTCAAGTGGACATGTGACATATCCTCTCTAGTCAAATCTGAACCCTAGATAAACGGTAAAAACTGTAATTTTTTACGTGTGATATAACATAAAGAATAGAAACAATCTGCAATAATGGATATGAATTCCATTGGATCAGAATTGTTATGCATCATTTCAAAGAACGATAAATATTCTTTGGGATGGTATATGAATTGTTTAACTGGCTCGACCGATAGTTGCAGAAAAAACCGATCCAGGCTGAATTTACAGTAAAATCGTAAAATTTCATTTTTTGGATAGAACCTTTCATAAGTTAATGAAAATTAAAGATAATTGAATAAATCAGGGGTCAATTCGTAGGTGATTTCATATATTTTCACCTAGGTATGGGATATCTCCATATATTCTAATAGAAACCAAGCAAATCTTGCTATTTAGGAGGAAAAACACAGAATTTTCAAAATGTGACATGCTAAAATCGCTACATTATCGCTTATAACAATTGATTTAAGTGATGGAGCAGATAATGTAGAGTATCAATTTGAAGATCTCGATGAGACCTTCAAATTGGTCAAATCTAAGGCCTCGATAAATGGTAAAAACTGTCATTTTTAAGGTGTGACATAACGTAAAAAATGGAAATAATCTGCAATAACTCAATGAAAATTGGAGTAAATGACATTTATCATACACCATTTTAAAGAATATAAAATGCCCTTCAAAATTATATATGGAGATTCCCATCCAGTCCACACAGAAGTCCCAAAATCCCCAACGGAAGTGAATTCTTAGAGTAAACCATAAAAATTCAATTGTCGTATAAAAACTCTCAAAAGTCGATGACAAATGGAGATAATTGGATAAATCAAGGATCAATTCCAAGATAATTTGATATATTTTTAGCTAAGAATGAGATATCTTGACAGATTCCAACACAAACCAAGCAAATCTTGCTATTTAAGAGGAAAAACACGGAATTTTCAGAGTGTGACATGCTAAAATCGGTACATTATCGCTTATAACAATTGATTTAGGTGATGGGGTAGATAATATACGATATCAATTTGAAGATCTCGATGAGACCTGATTAAATGATTTTTAAAGTTGCTGCTCATACATGAGGTTAAATCGGTCATCGATAATTTCAGTATTTTTTATTGCGCGAATATCGATGCAAGTGAGGGTCAAAAATGAAAGTAAAAAGTCAAGGGTCAACTTTTTTTTGCCGATCTGGACGTTCCATGCGGTTTTTTATCGTATGAGAGATACTCTCTTTTTCGTTTAAAAATGTTGACCCTTATGACCCTAAAACTAAGTAACGCTAACGTCCAAATTTGCAATAAAATTTTAGGGTCATAAGGGTTAAAAAATTGGCAACTAAAAAAGAAGTGTCTTAAATGATGGGAAATGACATCTTTAGATCTGGAATAAAATTTTAGAGTCATGAAGATCATGAGAAAGAATTTTCACGGTTATGAGGATGAGAATTTCAGGCTCATAGGATTCAAAATTTTTTTCAACTAAAAAAAGTGTTTCAAGCGATAAGGAATTGCATGGAATCTCTAAATCTTCAGTCAAATTTTAGGGTCACAAGACTAAAAACTCAGGGTCATTAGGGTCAAAATTTTTTTCAATGGAAAAAAAAAGTTCGTCTCAAACGACAAAGAATTACATAGAACATCCAGATCTGCAAAAAAAAATTGATCCTCATGACCCTTTACTTTCATTGTTGACTCTCATACCTGACCCTCATGTCTAACCCTCACGCCATCTGGCTCGTGATCTTTAGATTTGACACTTGCTTTTGACCTCCATTTTTGTGACGATTAATTTAGACTCTTATTTCTGAATCTGAATTAATAAATCTTGTGATTCTTATTTTTCCTCCTCACATCTGGCGCTCATTTTTTACTCTTACATTTGACCCTTGTGACCCTTGTTTCTAAATGCCATTCTTGTGACCCTTATTTTTTATTCATCTATCAAAATTTCCATAGTTAAAAAAAACATGAATAAATAAATAATTAAATACTAAATACTGAGGACTAAATATTTAAATGAATAAGTATTTAGTATTTAGAAGGGAACTAAACACTGAATACTTGACTATTTTGTATTTAAGAGTATCGAAGATACAAAATATTCAAGTATTTAATATTTTCCCAAGTTTCTAAATTCTAAATGAATTATTTAGTACTTAGGCCCGGTTGCACCAGCTCCGGGTAACGAAAACGTCTGCTAAGAAAAAAAGTAAATTTGGATATTCGATGAATTATTTTACCCGAGAGAATATCTCAAATTTATCCCGAGAACAAAAAATAGACTTCAATTCCACGGTTAAATCAGTATTAATACAAATGGGACTACAGGATATAAAAAATTATTCTTCGAGTCAAATATTGAAAAATTATGACCTCTACGATATAATTGACCCCGAGGATAACGTTTACCCTGGGGTTTATTCGGATAACAGGGCTTGGTGCAACCGGGCCTTCAATTAGTATTTAAATAGAAAAGTATTTAGTTTTGCTCATCATTGATGAAAACTCGCTTGAACGTCCCCTGCTCCAACGAAGACTGAGATTTCATCCCGTCTCCTTAACAAATCGATGGAATCATCTAAACAATCATCACTGATAAACGTATCGAATGATTTCGATCAGCAGAAGTGAAATCAGAGGGTCGAGCAGCAGATCTTCGTATCAGTTTACGAAATACATCTGATAAAATCGATGCAACAGTGAAGAAAGAAGAAAAAGACTGTAAAAATTATGCGAAAGGCAGTAAAAGTAACCATAGACACTGCGTACTCAATCACTCGACTACCCCGCGGTACAATCAAAAAAATCCCCAACAAAGTAGCAAGAAAAGTTGTGAGACGTTCTTATCATTTGACCTTAATAGCCCCCTCGTAGTCTCCATAACGGGAAAATTCAATCGTCTGTGAGTTGAAATCTCCCGAGGGTCTCCACCAATGAGATTCTTGAAAATTATGAATTGTTAATTCTTGAATTATCTTCATTATTGATTATTTTAGAGGAAATTGTCGAGAGCTTAGAAAATTACTAGACAAAAGATTTTCTCATGATTTCTCCTATCACTCGTGACTGAAATAATTTAAGTATTAATAAGATAAGTTTAGTAAAACCAGGAGACTTTGTTATGTACGAAATTATCTCGGAAATGAAGAGAGGCGAGTGGGGCTAAATGGACACTTGTCCTTATGCTTCCGAATGGAAGCATTATAGTCGTCAAATCCTAAATTTCTAATTTTTTGTGTCAGGGTAACTAATTTTAGTCTCAGGAGTTCAAATATGCTATTTTTAGACTACGTCCGGATCTACGTATGTATGAGTGTGTGGATGTGACCGATCGTTTTGTGACGTCGACTGAAAAAATTATTCTTTGAATGAATCCAATTGTAATTTGAAATATTCTTACCAATGCCTCTTGACCGCGTTTGATCATGAGTTTGATTGCATTATCTGTTGTTGAAAAGATTTATTTTGAAACTAATATTCAGGGAAAGGTAAAAAATTTTACCGTTTAGGCAATGTTGGCTGCCAATGTTGGGGCAGTGTTGGGGAAATGTTGGCTGTCAGCGTTGGGGCAGTATTGACTGATAGCTTCGGGGCAATGTTAGCTGCCAACGCTGGGGTGATGTTGGCAACCAATGTTGGGGTAATGTTGGCTGCCAGTGTTGGGCCAATGTTGGCTGTCAACATTGGGGTAATGTTGGCAGTGCAGTGTTGGGTGTTAAACGTTGGGACGATGTTGGCTATCGACGTTGGGGCAATGGTGGCTGCCAACGTTAGGGCAATATTCGCTGCTAGCGTCGAGGCAATCTTGGCTACCAACTTTAGGGCAATATTGGCTTCCAGCATTGAGCCAATGTTGGCTGCCAACGTCGGGGCAATGTTGGCTGACAACGTTGGGGCAATGTTGGCTTCCAGCATTGGGGCAATGTTGGCTGCCAGCGTTGGGGGTCTTCCAAGAGGAGACTAATCCTGAAGAAAACCAGGAAAGACTTAAAGGGACCCGCTCCACTATTTGAGAGGTACAACGAACCGCATAAGTAAAATACTCGACAAACACAACATCCAAACGATCTTACAAGCTTCAAAGGAGAGTGGACAGATGCTTCTTCGCTTTGCTGTCCAAAACTTAAATTTGAATGATTACAAAGCTTTCATGCGGAAGCAAAAAGTAAGGTGTATGAAAGTTTAAACAATTTCAATTCTTTATTTATAAACACCAAATGTTTAAAAGAACAATAATTCTGTGCAAAATACAACTTGAATGACGCAGAACATTCACGATATTTTTTTATCAAATTTTTCTCACGCAATTTAACTGACAAATTTGTTCATAAAAAAAGGTTCAATTTATAGTGTAGTCTACAGCCAAACTGTAAAAACTACTTGAATACCTTTAATTACCGACCCAATTACATTATTGAAAAAAAAAAAAAAGATAAATCTCCATCGACTCAGTTCCACTCATTTCACCACTTCACTCCAGAATAATCTATTTATTATTCCAATTACTCATACATAAAGTCTGACAACTGTACCACGAAACGATACAAAAATTCACACATTGGAGCGCCTGAATTGCGCGACCACGCGCACATCAGCTGTACTTTGCGCTGAAGGCTGTGATAACCTCGTGGCTCCTTATCCCCACCGCAAATCGCCCCCCGCGGATCGTATATAAACGAAATAATTCCGATGAATAAATCATTCATAACGAAGTTAGTGACCGTGTTAAACCTTCGCCGTTACAATCGATAGAATTAATCCACAAAAACAAACAAATTCCCAACTCCACTGAGGCCCTAGCGCACTGTTGGCGATTACAACCTCAAAATAATCAATTAGTGAAATAAGCGAGTGTCATTAGTATACAATAAATCTGTCAGCACACGGAGGAATGCAAAAGGACTGTCGAGACTGTTTGGGTATCCGATACCGCATCAACACCCTGGATCAGACCTGGAAGTGGCTGCACCAGACAATTGCCCTTCACGATTACCTCATCTCCATAACCTCAAGCCAGTCTGACGTATCTGCTAAACACATGTGTTGAGAGGGCTCAGTCGAATTACAACCTTTCATCAATTGTCAACGATTTTAATTGAATCAAGTGAAAAAAGGCCTCTTTTCTAGTCAATTTCTGAAGGACTTGAGCAGAAACACACAGACTTTGTACCTAGTTGAAATCAATGAATTTTCTTATCATTTGAAAAGAGGGAATACACAACATTAATATTAAAGACTGATTTAGTTTAATTGACTGATTAACAGTATCTGTTTCGTTCTGTTATTCTGTTGTGGAAATAAATAATGTCGCTAATCAGCAGATACGTTGTGTCTAATAAGGGGAGAGTATTATCAATTGTTCATTCACATGTTGGAATGATAATTGGTAGATCAATGTCCAGTGGTGGTGATCGTGTAAATGAGGATTTGATAGCCAAATCTGTGTTCATATCACAATCTAAAGATATATTTACGAATTTGGCGCTGGAGGATTGGCTGTATCGTAACTATGATTTTAAGAATCATCACGTATTGTTACTTTGGAGAAATGATCCTTGTGTGGTTATTGGACGCCATCAGAATCCCTGGATCGAGGCGAATATTCAGGGGCTTGAGGAGCAGGGAATTGCCATGGCTAGACGCAATAGTGGCGGTGGGACGGTTTATCATGATTCTGGAAACTTAAATCTGTCGTTTTTTACCCCGAAGGAGAGGTACAATAGGAGGTACAATCTGGAGATCATCACGAGGGCCTTGTACAGGGAGTGGGGGCTCAGGAGTGATATCAATCAGAGGGAGGATATCGTTGTCAATGGGAATTTGAAAGTATCTGGGACCGCCGCAAAACTGGGACGACCCAATGCTTATCATCATTGCACTCTGCTGGTGAATGTTAATAAGGAAAATCTCAGAATGGCGCTGGAAAAGAAAGAGGTAATGANGACAAAAAACAATGGGGTCCCGGGGTGAATAAGAGAGATATTTCAACCCGCCGTACCCATTTGATCCCATGCTTTCTCGAGGTTCGTCACGCGAAATAGAGGATTTTCCGCATTTATTTTCTCGATGTCTAGTTCCGGTTGCGGGTTTGAAATTTTGTCGAATGGATGAATACATATTTCTCCAATGATGGAGGGAAAGAAAAAATTTTTTTTTGAATCTTTTTTCAAATTCACTTGGCTCCCTTAAGGATGCAGGGGAGGGTGGGGTAAAACGGACACTTGAGAATTTTTTCAAATTATTCATAACTCAGAAACAAATTCATCAATTGAGCTCAGTTTTCCAATACAAAGAATTGCTCTTTGTATTGGAAAAAAAAAATTATGGAATTTCATCAACATTTCAACCCCTCATTAACATTTTTAAAAAAGTCAAAAGTGTCCGTTTTACCACCGATTATCCACGTGTTTTTCATTTTTAATTGATTGATTTTAATGTAATTACGAAAAATGTTGCAGTAACATTGATGAAATAAAATGAACAAATTTTTCTTATACATGGGCTTTTATGGAATTTATTTCTATATTTATAAGCTTTTTGATGGATTAAGGATATCCAAGTGCTTTGGCTATTTTTTCTCCAGTGAAATGCTTTTCTACTTTTGTAGTCGAAGAGCAAAACTTTCATTTGAGCCTCATGACCCCAAGTTTACGGACTTTTATCATGATTTTATCATTTAAACTTTGTACGCCTGAATTTGAATCTCAATATTGAACCGTTAAAAAATATTTTTAAAATCTGAAAAAAAAATTGGAAAGTTTACTTTTGCTGGAAGACTGAGGAGATCATTAAAAAATTACCATGTTTGAAAATTACGAGCATTCATTTATTCATGTATTCATTTCAGTAGTGAAGTAGTCAAGCGGTTTAATCAATTCCATTGTAGCGTCAGTTCTCGATGAATATCTCAAATTCTAAAGGAGTTAGTAAAATTTTCCTAACAATCTTTCTTGCGAAAAAGGTTTTACAAAAATTTCGCTTTCTTAAATTCCGAGCTATTCAACAAAAACTCATCTGGGAGCTAAGTCGACTTAAACCGATTGACCACTTCACTACTGATTGATTAATTTATTTAATTATTCATTCATTTACATATGGATACCCATCAGCAGGAATTAATATCACATGAATATTTCGCCCAAGTAATTTCATTCTCAACGAAAATTCAAGACTCTTGTAAGAGAGTACGAAAGTCTTGGTCTCCTGCCTTGAAAAATCGAGTCGAGAGTTTCAGCCAGACGGCAAGACAAGACAAGAGAGTAGCTCACTCTCGCCCTGTCTGGCGGCATCACTATTCTCAGTATATTAATTATCTATTTAAATTCTGAATACGCAACTCAAGTTGATGGATGAGAGTTTTCACCAACAAGAAGATAACTCTATCAGTCAAAAAAAATCGAAAACAGCTTGAGTGCATGCGATTTTGGATAATCATCCTTAATGATTAATTAGTGACGACGCATAATGAAGCTGAAACTAATAGAATATTCGTCAGCGGAAAATTCCATTTACGGGATATTTAAGTGTAGAAGAGTCAAATAATCGTACGTACAAATGTTTTTTAAATGCGAAAGAGTTTGTACATTACTTAAAAACATTTGTACACCTGTAGATTCGCCTAAGACAAATCTACTGTCGAATCTTTCGTTATTTCAGCTTCATCGACGCATATCGTTCTGTTCTGTTATAATGATCGATCCGGCTTTCACTCAGTCTTCTGTCATTTCATTCCTTTTCGCTTGTTTGAATTGATATCGATCGGGTCAAGGTGATGGGAATGAGTGATCAATATTCTGGTTGGTGATTACAGACTGGAATAAGTCATTCGAAAGCAACGGAATCTACAAGATCTCCAGTGAAGAATTTGAGCGAGATCAATGGTCGAGTGACTACTGATGCTTTAATGTCGGCTGTTGGTTGGGAGTATCTTCGCACGATGGCAATGACTCTTGAGGATGGGGGACATTCACTTGTGCAGAAGCAGAAGGGATTTCAGATGATAAATCCTACTGAACAGTGGTTCCCAGGTAAATAGAGATTGTTCACGATTTTTTAAATCTCTTTATTTGATAATTTGGGTCAAATTATGTCTGAATTCGAAGTGAAACTGTCCAAATGGTTTTTTTACTGTTTAAAAAATAGTCTAGGGTAAAATCATCATTTTTTGAATCCATTTTTGATTTTTTTGCTGTTTAAATCAATTTTTTATTTTTTTGCTGTTTAAAAAATGGTAAATTTCTCCCTAAACCATTTTTTAAATAATTCTTTCTAAAAAAATTTCGTGGATATATCGAACGAATGGAAAAAGTAAGGTGGTTTTCATTTATGAAACATGAATAAGCGAATCATAATTGTCCAAATCATTTAGGTCGGAAGAAAATAGAATAATTCTACTTTCTTAATATTGCGATTACTAAGGTTTTCTTCGAACAAAGTTGATTAGAATTAATAGCTAGAATTATGATATTATCTCACATTTTTGAAGTTAAGGATAGGAGAATCTGAATGCAATATCGTCGTATTGTTTTTTGCCACGAGAATACTTATCAACAATTTATGGAAAGAAGAAATATCGAATCAGCACCAATCGAGTATCGGCACCAACACCCTTCCTAGTTATAAAATTAAGAAACTTCTACATATGGAAATTTTTGAAACCTAAACAAGTAATTTCAATAATTTCTTCACTTACAAAAACTATATGAAATATCCCCATTAAAATATTCAAGTGCATTGAATTCTACCTTTATTTATAATCGTTAATTACAAGTTTATAACATTGAGACTTGAATTCAGTAGCGATGTGGTCAAACGGTTTAAGTCAATTCAATCTTTAGTTGAGTTTTCCAGAAACATTTCCGAATTTAAGGGAGATAGCGAAATTTTCATAATAACCTTTTTTGTAGAGCGAATTGAGTGCTACTAAAAAGGTTATGACAACNTTCAACCCCTCATTAACATTTTTAAAAAAGTCAAAAGTGTCCGTTTTACCACCGATTATCCACGTGTTTTTCATTTTTAATTGATTGATTTTAATGTAATTACGAAAAATGTTGCAGTAACATTGATGAAATAAAATGAACAAATTTTTCTTATACATGGGCTTTTATGGAATTTATTTCTATATTTATAAGCTTTTTGATGGATTAAGGATATCCANAATTTTGCTATCTCCCTTAGATTTTGAGATATTCATTGAAAACTGGCCAACGGCCAAAATCGACTTGAACCATTTGACCACTTCGCTACTGAATTTACGCTTCGTCAATTAGTTTGCCAAATTAATCATGATGTTCATTCAACTCCAGGTTTAGATAAACTTAAAGATGACTTCCAATCGTGGGAATGGAACTATGGGAGGTGCCCAAAATTTACAGTGACAAGGGACCTGAAAATCCCAGCGGATTCAACGAATTCAACGGACAACGGACCATTCCATCAATTGAAACTGACACTGGAAGTCAAGAATGGAATCGTCGAGGATATAAAACTGAGTCTACCTCCCGATGTTCTTTCCAATGCCGCTAGCCAGGACGCCAGTGTGATTACTCATCTCCGGGGGGCGAAATACGACCACGACATCACCGAGAAAATCATCTCAGCTCTCGGTTGTACCAGTGTTCCCCTTGATGCTACACAGAGTGCTAATATAAGTAACATGGCAGCCACTCAATGACCAAATCACCCAGATGTTTCCAACTAAGATTTATAACTTCACGCATGAAAAAATTTAATAGACAACCTTTGCGAATTCGCTGGAAAATTCTATTGAAATTCTCTAGAAATTCTGTGGGGATTCTCTTTAAAAATTTCTGCGGAAGTCTCGTTAAAATTTCATCTGTTTTTTGCGCAGATTCTATAACATATTTTATACGCGGAGAGAAATATTCAATAAAAATTACCAGAAAAAAGACGTAAAAATTACATTTCGAAACGTAATCTGGGAGTGAAGTAAAATTCAATAAAAAGTTTCAATCGTCACGTAAATTCTACGATCTGTTCCGTAAAAATTACTCATCCGTCCGACGCCGCACGGCTAGCCATGAGTCACCGTGAGGGGGAGGAGATTTTAACAACACGGTCCGTAATTTTTCCGGAACTTTTCGTAAAAATTCTTAAACATCCAAGAATTTTCATGTTCTGAGGCATAATAAGTCTTGAAGTTTCTGTTAAATTTTACAACTTCCAGAAAAATTACGTGACTTTTTCGTATTTTTTCGGTGACAGACCCGAAAATTTACTGAACGTTTCAGATTTATTCTCTTGTATTCCTATAGAAATTCACTGAAAACGATTCTCGCTTGCGGATTACGTGAAATGTTCCGTAATTTTTCTTGAATATTTCTCTCCGTGTAGGAAAAAGCCAATAGATTTTGATTTTTCTGTTTGAATTTTCCTCTTGAGATTTTTTATACAGAAATTATTGGCCACGGATTTTCCAAATTTTTTCCGCTATATTGTTTTGTTTTGCAAAAACTTTAAAAATTCATTCCGGAGTATTCTTATAGAAACAATTTCAAGAGAATAAAAATTCCTATATTATATCAATCCAGATCGACTTCTCGTGATAAAAATTTGATACTCGAAATTAAGACTCCGTAATTAAAGGTGGCAAGGGTCAAAATAATGATTACGAAGATCAGAATAAGGGTCATAAGGGTCATATAGGGGTTGGCGAGCGGAGCGAGCAGGGGGCGTAGCCCCCTAGTTCCTATAGAAAAATCGAAATCTATTGACTTTTTCCTATCGAATATCTCATAGAATTACCGCAAAAAAGAAATAGAATTGTAACGATAATTGCCTAGAATTTGAAGAGAATTCCAGTAGAATATCTAGAGAATTCCAATAAATTTGCTATCGAATTCGCTAAGTTTTTTTATTGAATTTTTTCATACGTATTTTCTTTTGCACTTTATAATGCACTTGTGTTCTTTCTATGTATATTCTCTAGTTTCTGCCTATTCACTATTGAAATGATACCGCTAAATGAAGATATTTTTAGAATCTTGATTGTATTAACATTTTTATTAATCTTGATTGATTTATTGGTATTAATGTAATCTTATGCCATCTTCATTTGTTGCATTTAAAAATTTCATGAATGGTTTCGTATCTAAGTTAACAGGGCAGTATTTCCTGTAGGATAATTAGCAATTTTAATGATTGTAATTCCGATCATTGAAATTGCTAATTGCTATTGACTTAGGTGCATAATTGCAATTGAGACAAGTGGGCAGTTTGATCAGACAAGGCTTTTCATTCGAAAATGGAGCACTTGACAATATCGCGATTATCATTCGTATATTTTAATTTCTTTTTAAAATTGCGCTCCGATTTTATTTTGAAGTTAGCATGAATTCACATGTATATATCTATTTTTTGTCTGTTAACTATTGATACGATACTGTTAAATATATGAGAATATTTTTTGGATTTTGGTTGTTTAACCTTTTTATTAACCTTAATTTATGCATTCGGCGAGAGTCGGGAAAAATGAAACCGCCGAGAAACGACTGTTTGACGCAATTGAAACAAAAAAAAATTTACAACTATAGTCCAATTAAATCTTCTTTTCCCTCAGAAACCTAATTTCAGGCTATAGGTTTCTGTAGTTTCCATTGTCGAAATGTTGATTTCTCAATGGAACCAATTGAAATACAATATTTCAAAGGGAAAAGAAATTCTAGTCTGACTATATTATTTTTTTCTAACTTTTGTTTATCAACTTTTTCGTATTATTGGAAGTACTGACGAAAATAATAATTTTTCATTCAATAGAATGGAAAATTATTGAGAAGTTCTGACGAGAGAAGATTTTGTCGTGGATTAATTGAAAAGAAGATGAAACTGAAAAATTCAAAGCCCAGAGGAAGGCCCAGGAGGAGACCCAGAGGGGGAAAAAGGAAAATGTGATGCTGAATTTCAATCGAATGACAAAAGAAAAGTGTAATCACCCTAATCTAATCAATTGACTTATAGATGAAATGTTTTATGTTACTTGAAAAGAGAACTGTGGATAAAATTAGTGAAAATTATTGATATTGTCGTCTCGATATAAGAAATATATGAAAAACCTTCGGAAGTTTGGAATGAGGAGAGAACATAGACTCAGCGATGACGAGGTCTTAGTTTGGCTGCTGGAGTGGGATTCATCTGTGGAGGTAGTCGATACGCTTTGGAGGGGTTACGAATATCAGTGATTTTTTTGCACCGCATGTTGTTTTCTACCGAATAGAAAATTATTGTTCTCATCAGTACTCCCAATAATAAAAAAAGTTAATAATACAAAATTTTTTTTTGCTTGAATTGCGTCAAATATTCTTTTTTCGGCTGTTTCATTTTACCCCAGTTTTCCCTATTAATGAAATGTTATGTCATCTTAATTTCACAATCTGATTTTGATGAATATTTTGAAAACCAAGGTGGAAGAATCCTAGGAACATTTTCATTATTTGAACTGAACTTTGAGATATTTTTGAAAATCGTGATGCTGAAGTGAAGTTGGTCTGGTGCAGTTTAAATTTCACTACTGGATTGGTTTCATAATTAAGTAAACAAGACAGTATTTCCTGTAGGATAATTAGCAATTTCAATGATCGGAACTGGTATTTTCTCCTGTGCATAATTGTAATAGAAACGATTGTGCAGTCTCATTAGACCTGGCTTTTCATGAGACAATGGAGCACTTAAAAATAATGTGTAAATGTTAAAAATAATGTTTGTTTTGAAGTTAGCACGAATTCAAGTCTAAAGAACTTCTGGTGCGGGAAGGGATGAGGGTAGAACAGTTTCAGTTGCTAAAACTTCTTTCAGTTGAAAATTATTAGGCTATGTTGTATGAACAAGAGAACCCCTATTACTTTCTTTGCCTTAGTGTAGTTTTATAAACACTTGTGTTTGACATAATTGCATAAATACACGCACGAAAAAATTTAATAGAAAAACCTATCGAATTCGTTAAAAAATTCTATTGAATTTCTACTAAACTTTCTATTAGTTTTTGGCTGATTTTATTGACATGTTTAATAGAAAAAGATTCAATAGAAAAAGTCAACAGAATTCAATTTTTCTATATAACTTATTCTTTTCATATATTTTCTATAGAATTTGGTCGACTCAAATTTCCCAAGTTTTTTTCATTCTATTTTTCTTTTCTTCTCATCAAGAAAATCTAGCGAATTCGCTAGAAAATTCTATTGGAATTCCATAGGAATTCTATGGGGTTTCTATGAGATTTCAATTGGAATTTTATTGAAAAATTCTAGTTGTTTTTTGCGCCGGTTCTATTGGATATTCGATAAGAAAAAGTCAATAGATTTCGAATTTCTACTTGAATTTTTCTGTTGAGATTTTTTCTATAAGAATACTTAGGCATCAATTTTCTAAGTTTTTTCCACTCGGATTCTGGAATGCAAAACAAAACAAAATCCAGCGGAAAAAATTTGAAAAATTTGTGCCCAATAATTCTGATAGTAAAAATTTTAAGAGAAAAATTCGAACCTAAATTCAAAATATATTGACTTTTTCTTATCAAATATGAATCAGCGCAAAAAACAAGTCGAATTTTTTAATAGACTAGAAACACGGCGCGCTTTGCGCGCCCAAGCTAGAATCGGTGTATCGGAATATAATATTAATATAAAAAATATCTATCGAAATAAATGTATATAAAAACATCTCATCTCATTTCAAAAATTTCGCAATAATCGTCATGCATATATATCGTCGCATTAAAATCAAAGGGGCGTAAGTGCCATTTCTCTGAGATTTTTTTTCTCTTAATACCAAAGGGGCGTATGTTTTTTTTTTTCCTTCGAAATGGAGTTTTCTCAACTTATGAAAGGTTTTTTGTGGACAAATTTCTGAACTGGCAAATGGACGTAAGTCCGACTAGCAAGTACTGAAGGGGCGTATCTCCAGCACATACGCCTCTTTCTTTTTATACTTTTTGTTTCTTTTCTAGCTCATATTGAGAATGAATAATTCCAAAGGGGCGTAACTCAGGCACATACGTCCCTTTGTTTTTGAAGCAATAATCACAGAGGGGCGTAACTCCAATATATATGTCCCTTCATTTGTTACTGTTCGTTCCTATTGATTCATCAAGTATAAACGGAATCACATGCACTACAGCCCTAATAATAAATAATATTTGATTCTACATTAACCTCCCCTCCCTCCCTCTCATCATGAATGTTCAAATTATTTCCCTTTGATTTTTTGCTTGAATGAAACAATTTCATGAGAAATATCAGTAACTAAACTAAAATTTTCTAAAATTTTCTTCTAAATTTATTCGATTTCATTCATTAATTTATTTCATTTTTTTAAATTATGACTGCGAATTTCAGGAAATTATCTGTATGAAATTTCGAGTCGTGACTGCTTTGAACACTTCGGAAGAAAATGAGACCATAAAGGAAGAAGAAAATAGTTAAAGCGTTTTATGTTGATATAATGAGAGAGAGGCGTATGTGGGACTTACGCCCTTTTCGTTTTATTTCAACATGAAATGTGTAATCCGAAGTGCACAACACATAATGTAAAAAGGGCGTGTCATTTTTTGAATGAAATGAAACAGGCGTAAGTGTGGAGATACGCCCCTTTCCCGTTGAAATATAGCAATTACGCCTTTTTCCTAGATTTTTTTTTCTTCCGATTTTTGGTCAGAAATTCCATGAAAAACCGAAAAAACAGGAATTCGGAACATACGCCCCTTTCACTTTTAAAATGGGTTTTTTGGCACTTACGCCCCTTTGATTTTAATGCGACGATATGTATATATTAATATAATAATAATACAATACATATAATAATATATATAATATAGTAAATAATAATATAATATAAATACTTTATAATATTATATTGTGTTATTATTTATTATATCCTATGGCACATTCTTCCAATTATC